TACTTGTACTGGAAATTCTTCTGCCTCAGCTTCCCAAGTACGGTATGCAGGAATGCAGCGCCACACTTAGCTGTCTGTTCTAAGGACATCAGTCATGGGATTTAGGATCTCCCCGGAGGGTCCAGGACATCTATTTCAGGAGCCTTCTCTTAATTCTACTGCACATTAATAATTACAGGCTTGGGGATTCCAGTGTGTCTCTGTCTTCTGGGGGCCACACTCAGTCTGCTCCAAGTCTCCCACAGGTGTTCACAGAAGAAGCCCACTCAGGTACATCTCCTCCTTAGCTTGTAATGAGAATGAATCAGTTGCTCTGAATGAGGCAAGATCCTCCACCTCCGAATGATGAGGAAGGCTAAAACAGCCTCAGAGTCAGGAAGGACAGATGACTCACTTCTGGAGGGAGAAGCAGGGGCTGAGGCTGGGGTAGCTCAGTTGGTCGAGTGCTTACTTAGCATTCATTAGGCTGTGGGTTCTATTTCTGGTACCTTTTTTTTTTTTTTTTTCTGTGACAGGATTTCTCTGAATAGCCCTGACTGTCCTAGAACTCACTCTGTAGACCAGGCTGGCCTTGAACTCAGAGGTCTATCTGCCTCTGCCTCCCGAGTGCTAGGATTACAGATAGGTGTGTGTCACCACCGCCCAGTGTAGCTAGAGTTTTTCTGCCTTGCCCACAGTCAGGACAAATCTCTCTCAACCGCCAGTCCCACAGCCGCTCAGACCCAACCAAGTAAACACAGAGACTTATATTGCTTACAAACTGTATGGCCATGGCAGGCTTCTTGCTAACTGTTCTTATAGCTTAAATTAATCCATTTCCATAAATCTATACCTTGCCACGTGGCTGGTGGCTTACCGGCGTCTTTACATGCTGCTGGTCATGGTGGTGGCTGGCAGTGTCTCTCTGTCTCTGCCTTCCGCTTCCCAGAATTCTCCTCTCTCCTTGTCCCACCTACTTCCTGCCTGGCCACTGGCCAATCAGTGTTTTATTTATTGACCAATCAGAGCAATTTGACATACAGACCAACCCACAGCAGCACAGCTTCTCTGGCACTTCATAAATGCAGCATGGAGGCATGTGCTTGTAATCCCTAGCACTCAGGAAGTGGAGGCAGAAGGACCAGAGGGTCAAGGTTATCCTCAACTACATAATAAGGCCAGCCTGGGCAACAAGAGACCCTGTCTCAAAACAAATATCCCCAAAGTGAAGTAACAACAAAAGGAGGGGGGGGGTCTGGGGAGGGAGCATTGGTCCATCTACCCTCTGTCCAGTCTTGGGTCTGTGGTGAACCTGAGTTATAAGCTTCATAGTCTCGAGGCTTGAATCAGCACTGTGATAGGTCCACTAGATGCCACTGCTCCAGTTCCACTGTGTGAATGAAGAAACTAAGATGCAGAGGGGAAAATCAGCCCAAGCCTTTCACCACAGCCAGTTCAAAGACTGTGCTGACCCACCTAAGCTTTCCAGTGCCCACTGAAACTTCCCTTTGCCTGTTCTGGGTGCAGGTTGCCAGGCAACAGTGTCTGATGCCAGCTCTGAAGGATGGATGCTTATGGTGGTTTGAAAGAAAATGGACCCGAAAGGGAGTGGCACTATTAGGAGGCGTGGCTTTGTTGGAGTGGGTGTGGCCTTGTTGGAGGAAGTGTGTCAATGTCAGGGTGGCCTTAGAGGCTTCCTATGCTAAGGATACTGCCCAGTGTCTCAGCCGACTTCCTGTTGCCTGTGAAATGCAGGACTGTCAGCTACTTCTCCAGCACCATGTCTGCCTGCATGCTGCCATGCTCCCCACCACAATAATGGACTGAACCTCTGAAATATAAGTGACCTCAAGTAAATGTTTTCCTTTATAAGAGTTGCGGTGGTCAGCCGGGTGGCAGTGGCACAGGCCTTTAATCCCAGCACTCGGGAAGCAGAGCCAGGCGGATCTCTGTGAGTTCGAGGCCAGCCTGGTCTACAGAGCGCGATCCAGGACAGGCACCAAAACTACACAGAGAAACCTTGTCTCAAAAAACCAAAAAAGAAGAAAAAAAAGTTTCAGTGGTCATGGTGCCTCTTCACAGCAATAGAAACCCTAAAACAGTGCTCAATGGGCATTCACATGGAATGAATGGGTGCTTCTCAGCTCCTTGAAGGAGGATGCTGTGGCTTACAGAGCCCCAGACACAATTCTGACTGCTGGTGTCACCCTGCCAGCCAGGCTCTGGTGCTTAGAATGGCTTGGTCAGCGGTTTCTGCCTGGGAGGGGAACCAGAGACAGGGAGACACGATTCCCTGACGGTCCTATGAGGACCCAGGTTGAGCCCTGTCCCCGGAAACGATTAGATAGGACAGGTGCTGGCCTTCATTACTTCCCCGGGTTGGAACTTGCATCTGAGGACCAGGCTAAGGGTGAGAACTACCAAACACCAGACCTGAGAGAGTGCGTCACCGTCAGGAGCTGTGGCAGGCAACCTTCCAGGGAAGTTGGAGCTTAGCACATTCTCTGATTGCATACTGTGTTATTAAAGGGTCTAAAAATGGCTGACCCTGTGATGTCACAAGTCCGCAGGATGAAATAGCGATGAATTCTGATGTGCTCTTTGGATTTTTCTGAAGGTCCAAATTAGAGTCTGGCCACCTGAAACTGCCCTGATGTGATTTGGGAGCCAGAAGCCTCAGTCTTTTACGTGGCACTCATTGGCTATTTCTTGATGACTTGAAGTTGTATGTGTGTGTGTTTTTACTGCTAATCACTAATAATTAACTGATATTGGATCCTCTACTCTAAATCCCTTATAAATGTAGTTTTTAAAATTTTATTTTTATTTGTATTAAGGTTTGCCTGTACGTATGTCTGTGACCATATGTGTGCCTGATATGGTGGAGGCCAGAAGAGGGCATTGGATTCCTTGGAACTGGAGTTCAGATGGCTGTGAGCTGCCATGTGGATACTAGGAACAGAACCTGGGTCTTCTGGAGAAGAGCAGCCAGTGCTCTCACTGCTGAGCCATCTCTCCAGCCCCTGTATTTCAGTTTTTGAGATAGGGTCTCACTATATTGCCGGGGTCCACCCTCAGCTCAGGTTCAGGTCCTGAGACAGGGAAGGGGCTTCAGCGCAAGGAAGAGATCTGACCACCAGGTGGGTTACACTCCAGTGGCCCCAATAGCTCAAGCCATCTTTATTTCTACTTAAGCAGAGTTTTTTTCTACCAGGCTTACATGAACAGCCTTATTTTTGGCTCCTATTTTTGACTTTTTTTTTTTAAAGATTTATTTATTTATTATGTATCCAGTGTTCTGTTTGCACACACCCCTGCAGGCCAGAAGAGGGCACCAGATCTCACTACAGATGGTTGTGAGCCACCATGTGGTTGCTGGGAATTGAACTTAGGACCTCTGGAAGAACAAGCAGTGCTCTTAACCTCTGAGCCATCTCTCCAGCCCCCCTATTTTGACTTTTAAGAAATACATGACAATTGAAGGAATACATCATAATCATTATGAGAACCCCCATTGTTCCCCTTTGTGCTTTCCCCAAATACACCTTCCCACCCCCTGCATAACCTTATTCTAGACACAGAGGTCAGCGTTTTTGCAGGCTTAACTGAATATGGAGCCAGACACATCCTGCTCCGGCAGCACTTACGTCAGCTGGAGGCTACCGAGGTTACAAAGTTAAGAAGTAATAGACATGGGCTAGAAGTAATAGACAGTGCTTTAAGGACAACGATATTCAAACCCAGACAGTTCCTTCACGTCTGCAAAGATATGCTTTTATCAGTTCCTTTTCTACAAGAGGGCCCCATGTCTCAATCTCTCTGTAAAAGGCAGACTTTGGTAAGGCACTCTTTCCCTTCCCACTACACCATACTTCTCCCACCAACACAAGCTCCTGGGTGTGGTAAGATGGATGTATCCATCCCATATTTTATGTTTCATTTTCCTCATTGGATTATACTAGATCCTATCATTGATTTTATATGCTTGGTGTCCAGGGAACTTACTCTCAAGAGTTGGCACTATGTGTATCCCTGAGGTTTTTTCCCTATTCTGTATATTCATGCCTTACTCTCCTTTCCAGAACTGTGAGACATGGTTGATGTTCCAAGTGTTGTTATCTCATATGTACCTAACTGTCTCTATTGAGTCAGAAAAGTCTCCAGGACTAGGAGTTGTAGTTAGTAATTCCAGGTAAGAGATTTGAGAAGCATAGGCCCCTGCTGAATCTTAGGGGAACATATTTGAGAAAGAGCAGAACTTCCAGGGAAAACAACAGCTGTTGCATGTGTGACTGACAAAGTAAAACTAAAAACCGCCCAAAGAATCAACAATATAATGAGAGAAAAGAGCTTGCAAGCCGCACGAAGTCCGCAAATTCCTTTGCTGTCCTGTGTGTAGCTGATGTATTTCTGTGTCCACCCACCTCCTGCAGCCACTCAGACCTATGTAAACACACAGAGACTTATATTACTTATAAACTGTGTGGCCGTGGCAGGCTTCTTGCTATCTAGTTCTTATATCTTAAATTAACCCATTTCTATTAATCTATAAGTTGCCACGTGGCTTGTGGCTGACCGGTACTTTACATCTTACTTCTCATGGTGGCGACTGGCAGTGTCTCCTGACTCAGCCTTCCACTCCCAGAATTCTCCTTTCTGCTTATCCCACCTATACTATACTTCCTGCCTGGCTACTGGCCAATCAGGGTTTTATTTATCAATCAATCAGAGCAACAGATTCACAGCATACAGAGCAACATCATCCATCACCTGTGGTTTACTGGTCCTTGCCGAGTGAGAATTTGTTTTTACGGGTGCCTTACCCCGAAGAAACCTGTTAGGTAGTCATATGCTGACCCAAGACTAGGCTACAGGGCTCCCAATGCTATATAGTCCTGGTTAGCCTCAAACTCATAGAGATCCACCTGCATCTGCCCCCTAAGTGCTGGGAATAAAGATGTGTACCATCACATCCAATTTATTTTAAGATTTACTTATTTATTCATTGCATGTGTGTGTACGCAGGTACGTGCACATGTGCTTATGTGCTCTGTCTGGTGTGTTGTGTAACATTTCCTTCAAGATTGAAACATTCTACCCTGCAAGGCTGCTCCTCAAGTAGGAAGGTAAACACCTCACAATAACTTCCGAAAGTCCCTGGAACCGACCAGATTCACTAGGTTTTGTGGTGGTTTGAATGTCATTGGCCCCCATTAGCTCATAGGGAGTGACACTATTAGGAGGCGTGGCTGTGTTGCAGTAGGTATGGCCTTGCTGGAGGAAGTGTGTCAACGTGGGGGGTGGGCTTTGAGGGATCAGATATGCTTAAGCCATGCCCAGTGTCCCAGACCATTTCCTGTTGCCTGCAGGTCAAGATGTAGGACTCTCAACTCCTTCTCCAGCACCATGTCTGCCTGCAGGCCACCATGTCCCACCATGATGACAATGGACTAAACCTCTGAAAAGGTAAGCTACCCCGATTAAATGCTTTTCCTTTATAAGAGTTGCTGTGGCCGGGCAGTGGTAGTTGCAGAGCCAGGCAGATCTCTGTGAGTTCGAGGCCAGCCTGGTCTACCAAGTGAGTTCCAGGGAAAGGCGCAAAGCTACACAGAGAAACCGTCTCAAAAAG